CTTATTCACAAAACAAGACAATAAAAGAAACGGAAGAGCCGATTACCTACTTCTATCGAGAAGGTTGAGAGGAAAATAAAACAAAGAATTTATCATTGTTTACCAACTGACCCAAAAAATCAACTAGTTGGTAGAGAGGAATACCAGGACCACTGAGCCAGGAACTTGTGAAAATACACTTCCTAGTGATGTATAATCTAACGAAGAGCAAGTAAAACAATTTCATTTAGGAAGTGAGCTGGTTCCAGCTCGTGAAATAAGTTCAACTAAATTTTATTGTTTGGTACTAAGAGGAAATGAAAGGAAGTTCTGTGACCTAAATTACTCTTGTTGGTAAGCCTTCCCCTGTGAAATCTCGATCTCCTGTGTGGTATATATTTCCAAAGAGTACTGTATGGATTAAATCGAAAACCTTTCTAATAGCCTATCATTTGCCAAGAAAAAGCCATAGCTTTAAATGACTGGATTGACTCCATCTTCTTAGACCTCAATGAAAATGCAACAGCAAGTATGACTAATCATCGAACAGCGAATCCTAAAGCGAATCCTAAAGCGAATCCTTTGCTCTTCTTTTGTTTTTTTGGTTTTAAAATACCTTAATCTAGCTAGAAGATTAAAAGAAAAGATCACAGCTGCTCCAAAATTCACGGTGCCGCAATACAAGATGAGGCGCAACCTTCTTGCGGCACCCGTTGGCAATTCCGTAATGCTGGATTGTTCTGCCAATGGAAACCCTCGTCCTACAGTAGAATGGTACAAAGACGAAAAATTGTTTAAGGAAAGGAAAGGTGGCAGCAAACTCTATGTGAGTCAATGGACAACCTTGTTGAGTCTGACGGACTTGGTTCCGTCTGACACTGGGTCATACATGTGTAATGTGAGCAACTTATACGGGTGGATTAATCATACCTACAAAGTGGACGTACATGGTAGGCACAAAAACCAATGTTAATCCCTTCTAAAAAGCCAAATTGAAATTAACATTGCAAGTAACGAAACGATGGATGCATTACATTGACAGTGTTCTCTTTGTAATTTTTTAAGAACGAGCTCGTGCTGAACCAGTGGTTCTACCGATGGAAAATGTCACTGTTAATAGAGGAGAAAATGCCAGCTTAACGTGCAAAGCATTAAGTGATTCCATGCCTCATTTCCAGTGGTTAAGGTGGTTTCCCATGCTTACCAACGGTTCGGTTAACAGTTCAGTAGACGATTCTATCGAAAGTCTACACTACGAAATCTTGAATGAAGACGTAACAGACCAACATGTAATTGTGCCACCAAGTAACAACAAAAAGTTTGAATTCCACGGTGTGAAGTTGACTTTGCTGAATGTCACAAAGAAGGAAGAAGGAAAGTACTCTTGCCTTGTGGGAAATGCTGTTGGTTACGTAGTCGAACATGCATACATCATCGTCCAAAACATCGGTGGGTGAACCATAATTAGATTACCAATTCTTAATGATTTTTGTTATCATAGATTTTGCTATTATCAGTCTTACGAGCTTCCTGCGATGAGCCCATAGCAGTTGTTTTGCCTAGCATATTTTGACGTCATCTGTGATCTATTACTGAACAGACGCACGGCAACATGGAAAGTATATGTAACTCTATTTGGTGTAATTCCTCGTCCATGAATCCCTGCAAAACAGCTTTCTTTTCTTGAGTCTCCTCTGCTTCGGGAGTCACGAAGGGTCGATGTTTGCTTGACTACGTGCTGAGTTTGGTTGACTGAAAAGGTAACGCCACCAAGTGGCCTGTGGCCGTTCAGATTACTTTGCATTGGTTTACAGCACTCAGTTACATCCATTTGTCGTGATTCTGTATAGTGCCACTTGGGAGTTAACAAATCAAACACATGCAGACCGAAAAAAGTGACTGCTTTATGGTAGATGATCATTTGCTGAAGATTGTACCCATCAGAGCACAACTCGACATTTTTTTTTATTCATGCAGATGAAGCAAAACCAACCGAGCTTCAGAAAACTGAAAGCACCACAGATGGTAAGCGTAACCGTGAAAAACAGATATGATTCATTTATTTAACGTCATAACTAATTCTTCTACCTTAGAAATAAATGGAGAGGGCAACTGGAGGATTTTGGTTGTGTCACGCTAAAGTTTACTTGATTTTTTTCTTCCCTCCCCCCACGATATAGAGTTAATTAGCAATTCAATTAATATTTTGTGTGGTCCCCCTTTACACTATGATGGCGACGACTGTTGTACCTCCGTTCCTTCTCAAAATCATGTAATTCGCACCCATAGTCCTCCGCCCCTCCAAGCGATATATAATAACTGGTCCCTTAGGTGTGCCATTTGTTAAGCAGGTACACACCACTTAATGCATAACGTTCTGACTAAGTTTAAGAAAGGCGCGCTCGTCATAATTTTGACTGATGGCTGCTGCAAATAAGGATCACCATATTTTCGTTGGATGTGTCTTGTATTTGTGAATCTCTTACTTTCATTATTCTTTCCACCTTGCCAAGCAGATAAAACACTTAATGGTGATACTAGACATGGATCAAGAAGCCTTTTTGTTAGTATTCTTCTAACTAAACAGGAGCTTAGTTTTGGCATGAGGGAGTTACTTTAGTATCAAACGGAATTATCGTTTTATTTCCCTGTAATAGCACACAACGTCTGCTTCAAAGAATTTTTTAGGGTGTAGCACTCATGTCGCATTTAGTAAGAACGGGCTAAGGCTCAATCTCGGTCAAAACCAGATTTTTACCCTTTTTTCTTACAATGACTTTAATTACTAATAATCTGTGGATATACATGTACATTCCTCTTTTGTAGTCGTATCATCCTTAAATCAAACTAGCATTTATTTCACTT